TGACCGGTATTTGCTTCACCTTCGGTATTTGCTTCACCTTGGATACTTGCACATTTTCTATTCAGAGGCCTACATTCGGCCCTTCACTTTTAGACTTAATTTAAAAGTTAGTATTGTTGGAAATAAACGTAAGGGTTAATTGTGATCAATTGACTCCTTCTGTTTTCCTTTGATATATCTACGGTTACAATTCATTTATCACCTCATTTCAAACCGGCCGGCATAGTTAAAGGGGGAGAAGAGGTATGACAGCCGGAAAGATTAAAGATAAAAAACAGTCGTGCTACAAGTTAGGTTGAGAGTCCGCTAACCGTGCGCAGTCTCTTTTTCTTATATTGTTTTGTTTTGTCTTTCCATCGTCTTCATACACATGTGAGATATTTGTACTCGTTTGGGGCGTTATTTGCACTCTACGAAGCACACTTGGATAATAATATTGATTATTAAAAACTGAATCATTGGATAATGCAATTCAAGACTTTTTAATTGGCTTAGCCATTATGGTATATCAGCCAATATACCGTCCATAATCTACGAATATGGTAAGCGTACGTGTCAGCTTAAAATTAAAGGGAGCCAAAAAAATTCAGTAACATTTAATGTTGAATTAAATGTTTTGATAAAACAATTATTCCACTCGCACTTGTTGGATATGAGATGATTATAGCTAACTCGGCGCTACGCGCCAAGTTGGCTATCTACTCCCCATGACAGCTCCAGAGCCGCTTCCCTTGTTTTCCTCGATTTTTTCGAAATCGGCAGGCCCCAAACAATTTTATGTGACGTCATAAAATCCAAAACGTAACAAGACGAAAGACGAAAGACCTCCCAGACATTGCCCTTTTTTATTACATCGCTGACAGCGCCCGTATGCAATATGAAGCCCACTCGGGACAGCCGGCATTGATCCCGCGCATGAAAATAATCGAATCAGTACTCAGTTCGCAGTTCTTGGAAAATGTCGGCGATGGAGACACAAAAAAAGGCAGAAAATAGTCAAAACAATGAAAGAGAAACGACTCTCGCAGGGCTGTCATCTACCGACTCGTTCAAAGAAATTTTAATTTTTAACTGTTTGATAATCACAAGGGACAACAGTCGTGTTTCCGAAAGAAAAAAAAAAACGATTATAAAAGTAGACAAATTAGTGGTTGAGAAATTCCCGGCAGTCGCAAATTTCCACGATGTCGTCAAGTCCTGTCGCGACCGCAAATCATCGTGTCTTCCGTAATTTTATCTACTTTATTTAAGTGTTCCCAGTCAGTAGAGGGTTTTGCCTTCGGCTAGATACCATAATTTACTCTTAAATAAAGTGACTGATTGTTTGACTGATTGAATGATAGGAAAGCACCCTCACGAAGTAGAATCTCGCTGCATCGAGAATACTCCAAGTAGCATTTGTTGCAAAGTGCAAAAAGCGAGCAAACGGCCCAAAACCTGGAGAATCCGACCACTCTTAAACTCTAACAAAAATTCACAACTGTAACTTTAAAAATAGGGCTCTGAGTTGTACTGAAAACAA